GAAATCATCAAACGAGATTTTGCTAACTGTACGTTATTTTTTATGGGAAAGGATGAGGGTTGTCTGTTAACTAATATAACCATCGAGTAGTAGACTTGACCGAGCAAGCTAGCTCGAATTTGACACCAGCCCCTAGTTCTTTACATAATTTACTAATATTCAAGCCGATTTCCACGGCATATGTGCAATGAGTCTCGTCAAAAACCAAAGCCTATGTGAAGGAAAATCAATAGGTCTGCCTAACATGACTAGCATACTGTTATTGGTTTTCTGAGGTTTTTTTAGGCATAAACCCCTGTTGAAGTTCAATTCAAGGGGTGGATAGTGTTTGGAGGTCGTACAAATTTTCAAAATATTGATGATGATTTGTATAGTGTAGGTCGGCTGTGGTTGTTTGAGGTCGATGATTAACACGTTCGATTCCGCAATAGTACTAAATTTTTCATTCATATGGACCAGCGAAGACGGCCAGTTTCTGCCAATAGACTGCCGTCGCATATTTGCGTCGGTGTCAAATGTTACTAAAAAGCTTATATCTTTGTAACGGTCTATTTGAAGACCCTGAATTCTCTGCAGTGGTGCGTCACTTGGTTTTTTGATATGATGATTAGTGACGTCATATGATATTTGGCAAAACTGATTTTTACTTTGCTGCTTCACTGGCTTGGGGTCTGTGTGTACTGTTAACCAAGTGACACCCGATCTATGTGTAATATTAAAATTAATTTATACCTCGGGCCGTGGCAATTACCTCAGCGTCGCATATGTGTGGCGATTGGTAGCAAACGTGTTAAAGTTGAGGAGATGGTTTCTTTTAACCTTGCATTTGTACATTAACATAGGCCTCAGGCCTGTCCATGGAATGTGTCCAGCAAAGCAAGGGGTGAGCTGGTACAGAAAAAGGTTGAAGTGTACTGTTGATGAAATTTGGCAGGTACCAGGATCCGAACCCAAGACATTGCTCCCTTGGATACGAAGTCCGTCATGCTACTGACTGAGCCATCTACCCATCAACCATTATTAATAATTATTCTCAAAGATCAGGGTAGGACTGAATGAGGAATTACCAAAATCATAGAGGGCATCTCAAAGATTACCAAGGATAACAGGAAGCCCTGGTAGTCCTAAGTACGCCCTGACCTTGAATCACTGTGTCCATAGAAACTTATGTACATTCGCTAACAAATATTTTTGTAAACATGTACAGCCTTCTGCTAACTACTCTGCATGCATATTACACATCCTTAAATTTTTGTAACAGATTTTAATACAGGTTGCCTCCCTTCTCACAGAAACCTAAACATGGATGGCGATTCATACTTTCTTGGTAAGAGCATACATTTTACTTTTAACATAATTTTTGACTGCTGCAATGAAACTAATCGTCAAAAAGGGGCTTGAACTAGCTAGAATGTAGATGAACTAGAAAATTGACTATAGACTAGTTTTTTTTTACAAATAAAAAAACCTAGAAATGGAATAAGTTCTACTGTTTAAAATAGCACCTTGACGTTTAGTTTGATCCATGGGTGGAAGAATCTTTGCAAATAGAAGCACCTCAAACTATCTCATTTTAATTACCTACATTTCAAAAGTAGATTGGTTCTATTATATAGCGAAGATATAATACATATTTTTAACCATCAATGATGGTTAATACAGAATTAGGTCTATGATTAGGTACTTAAGCTTAAAAAGATAAGTAGAGTAGAATTTGTATTACCACAATCTTTAGCCTTAGCAAACATAAATAAAATCTTTGATGTTGCCTTTATTTTCGATAGAGTACTTTCTGACCAAAGAAAATTTATTGAAATACAATCATAGATTAGAACAGATTCTTCCCTAACATGGATAACATGGACTCCCTTGTCTCTTCTGAATATTAGTAGTTACAATTTGAATATCTATAATATCCTAAATCTACCACACACATTTAATTGGTAAAATAATCACAGTATTGAAATGGTACAGCAACTAAGGGTATTTAAAACCAAGAATCAATTAAATATAAGAGTGTGATGCCATTTTTACCAATACAGTAGCCGATTCTTTTACCAGGATCATATATTATTGAAAGGCCAGTTAATTAAACATCTTAGTTCGGTTCCAAATTATCAAAAAGTGAACAGATTGTAATTTTCTACATCTGATTGTGAATTGCAGACAGATTGTTGCAGTAAAACTTCCCCATTTCTTCATATTGTTAGCATAAGTGTATTTTCTTAAATGGTTTCTTAAATGGAAGTTATAATCTATATAAAAAAGTTTGCGGTAAGCATTTTACATTCCAAACCATTCATGGCACATTCTTTATTCTCAATTAGCTGTTACCCAAGGGCTTCACCCTGTTTGACTTCATAAGTATTAATAAAACTATTGATTCGTTAAGATAAGCTGAAATAAAAAAATCTGAATACATTAATACAAACAAATAATCACACCTGATTTTAGGTAATAAATTGAAAGAATAACAAACAAATAAGTACAGCTGAGGTATTTTTAACATTAGGTACATGGAAAGATCCCTTTAGAAAGGAATAACGACCTTAAAGGGCAATTTATGAAATAATGGAAAGTTTTGCGCAGGGTTGCTCGTCATGACAAACATTTTAAGTATATGGTTTATGGGGGTGTGACTTGTAGTTTTCTCAAAAGTTTATGGGTACTTTGGGATTTATATATGGATACCCGACGGTGATATCACAATGCTGAGTTTGGATTCTTTTTTGCAATATTATGTATATATATGTGTTACTAGACTTTCATAGGTAGGACGATGTACCAGCCTCACTGAGAAGCATGTAAATGAGTCATACCTAGAATATGTTAAGAGTTTTTGAGAATAGGCCATTTCTGCTCCAATTTCAAAATTCCAGCATTTGAATTAAAAAAGCAGAGGACAGGCCGATTTGGAACACACAGTTATTCAAAGTTTCATCGGAAAAACAATTTATAATTCAAAGGGAAGGTTTCCTTTACAGCCTGTTAGCACAATAGTTCATCTTACATCATATCATTGATGACATAAGAATCTATAGCAAAAACCAAACAAAAATAACAAATTTTTTTGTAAATCCATAAAAAACAAGATGTTGTTTGATGTAAAGTAACTAATACTAGAGGACCCATACTGCTCCACAGTGTTAAAATAAATATCATATCCGAGAAATAATCAAACTTATGATTTTTGATTGAGTAAGAGTATCTTTAACTTAACTGATTCAAACGATCAATAGCTTAAATTAAAGCATATAATTTACTGATTATTCTGAGTCCTAAACAAATAAAAAAACATAAACAATACTGAAACTATTCTTATAACAAATATGTTTATGTTGGTTGTTCACCTTAAATTTGCTTGAAACTTGTCTGATTTGAATAACTAATAGCTTAAATGAAAGCTGGTATTTCTCTGAAGGTTTTTAGACCAAAATATATAGGACTAGCTGTACCCGCGGGCTTCACCCCGTTTAACTTCATAAGTATTCGCATGGCTCATTCACGTCCTGGTTGAGGTTCGTTCGCTACGCTCACTCACATTTAGGTTGGAGCTCGTTCGCTGCGCTCACTTGCCTTCAGGTTAGCTCGTTCGCTACGCTAACTCGCCTCCAGGTTGTAGTTCGTTCGCTACGCTCACTCACCTTTTGGTTGGAAATTAGCTGTTGACATAAATTAAAAAAATAATAATAGTGCTGCACCCTGTTGGTAATCCTTGTAACTTTTATGCTGTTGAACATCATAGAACAGAACCAACTTGTTTAATTGAGACAGCTGTTAAGATTCATTAATTCCTTTTAATTATGAAAAATCATAAGATTAACATGGGGAACTACAGAGCCACTGGGGCGGAGCCCGAAAGGGTTTTTGAGATAAGAATATGCTTTAATGTTAATCGGGAATGTGAGCTATCAGCATGCCAAATTTCAGCCCAATCCGTCCAGTAGTTTATGCGTGATTGAGCAACACACACACAAACATACACACAAACTCACAAACTTTCAAATTTATAATATTAGTAAGATTATATAATTATAACTTGTGAAACACATCTTAATTTGAAGTAAGAATTCAAAAATAAAAATAAATCTAATTTATGATTTTTGGTATAGTAATAGAGTAGATAAATATATTCCGATGCTTGATGTGAAATCTGTGCGTGCATAACTTCAATTTGAGACCTCAATCATGAAAATCGGTCGGATAGAAGAGCCAAACAAACTCGGAAAAGAAAAACAATTTTTTTAAAATATATAAGATGAGATGTTTAATTGTAATGATTAGTAGCTTACCTAACATAATACAGTATTAAAAATGAACTCTTTGTAATACGAATGGTCTATTTTTTTACCTATATATCAAACCCTAAACAGTTCAAATTTATTTGCTTGGCCCACTAATTTTTAAATATCGAAAGTCTATTATAATCAACACAATGTGATTAGATTGAATGGATAACACAAAAATTTAATTTGCGTAGAATCTTGGTTGTGAACGTCGACAAACACTTATGTTTGCAAGACGCTGCTTTATGATTATTTTGTTTAAAGTTTGAGCGTTTCTGAACAACACTTAAGAAGCCAAGCTTGGTAACAGCAGATGATTTACATAAAAAATTCTTTATTACACAGTAAATATCAAAATCTAAATAAAATAGCATAATTTACAACCACAATTTTGAAATATTTTATTTTAATTTTGTCAATTCCACACCAGTTAGTTAGGTCTGGGATACGTTAGATTAATTATGTATTATTTTTGTTAAACTAATAGGAAAAAATAATTGCTGCAAAATTCTGTTAGGAATTCTAAAGGTAAAAGAAACAATTTTTTAATGCAAAACATGCTCTTTTGCTAAGGCTGGCATTTGAAATGGCAAATGGAAGAAAAGCAAAAAGTGCTTGAGAACAAAAAATTATTTAAAAGTATATAACACTAAACTAAAACTTCAAACGTTAAATCCCAATAATTCTCTTCATTTCTAAAGTTAAAGATACATGTCACTCCTGCACCATTTAAAAATTTGCTTTAATAAGATTCTTGGAAGATTAGAGTTCATAAATTATGTAGGTACCTATAAGTGAAATGGTAGAAAAAGGTTAATCATATTTGTAGCCAAGATCAATGATTCTTAACTATATAGTTAAGTTATACTGTACAGCTTACACACCACAACCACTGCAAAGCATCAGATCCAATTATACCAGTCAAAGACAGTAGGGTCTTACCTTGTCTGGCGTTCTGTTCCATACGATCACCGAGTGGCCGGAATTGAGAAGGTTCTTGACGATCCCGGAGCCCATGATGCCTAGCCCGAGGAAGCCAAATTTGAGGGTGGAAGGCAGAATGTTTTTCTCTTTTAATGTTTGTGACACACTCTCTAAATCTAGCGGCGGCGTTTCCTGAAACAAAATGAAAATTCAATAGTCAAAGATTTTTGGTACTGACACAATTGCGCATTAACATGTCAAAGTTTTATATTTAACCATCTTATCATGTTTGTTAGAATTAATTAATTAATTCATAGCCTAAAAATGCCTGTTTTTTCCTGTATTCTGGGGGTAAAGTATTTTTTAAGATCCTTTATCATGTATTTGGTAAATCAAACCAAATAACACATAATTTTTATGAAAATAGTTTAAGGTAGCCTATATAAATTTTGTAAATAATTAAAAAACAACCTTTTGTAAGAATTTTGAAATATTTAGAAATTGGGTAATATAGTCTTTTGCATATTTAAAAAATTGAAGAAAATGAAATGGTGCAAATTTGAGCTCTCTGGGTGGTTTAGCTTTTGAGTTACAGTATTTTTTTAAATTTGTCAAATCCTGTATTTTAAGGTTTTTTTTAGATGCAAAATCCCAAGAGGTTTTTTGAACAACAACAGTGTAAAATTTGAAACTAAAACTCATGACGGTGAGTACAGTACTTAATGTTCAGCCAAATCTAAGATGTCAAAGGTACAATTCACTTAGTAGAATTGGTTGATTTGGCATGGAATGCCCCATTGAAAAAATATGAATATTCTAAGTTACTAAGATATATTAATAATAATAATCATTCTATAAGCAGCACTCATAGTAAGCCTGTATACTGCCTGTAATACTAATTCTGCAAGTTGTGTGAAATGGCTGTGGGTCCAGAAAATAGTATGAATGACATTTGTTAGAAATGTTGTTGGTCTATATAAAAATCACCATAGCTTATTTAAGTTGAGTAACCCAGTGCTGGCTCTCAAGACGTTCTCTAGAACGTCCAATCAAACAGTTCAAATCAAGAGGGAAAAAATTATTACAAGAAGCAATAAACCGGAATATGATCGAGGATTTGGTCATTGTTATACAGTATAATAAATACGTATGGACAAAGATTTTAATTTTTAATAAACTCATTTGTGATGTTAGTACTTTTATACTGCACAAAAAGGTTCACTTTACACAACAGAAGACATATCACAATCATGGATATAACTCGACATTTCATACTTATTTTTAAATTAGAAGAATTGCTAATATAAAAACTCCTACCAAAGCAAACCTGGAGAAAAAGAGAACTTCCATTTACCTGGTGAATTAACTCCCTTAAACACGTCTGATTTATTCTGTATTTCAATTAGGTTTAACAAGTACTAAGGTTGCTGCTTAATATAAAGTAATAAAATGTTTTGGTTAATATGCATTTTAGAGTCAATATGCATTTTAGGGTCTGCATCCGATTTTTGAAATTTCTGGTTGATTCCGAAAATTATTCATGAATTTTAAGAAAAGTTTTTTGGCTCAACACCTATTTCAGTTTATATGTTAATTTGCTTTTGAAAAAGGTATGTATGAGTTAGGTAGGTTAAATGGATGTCGATTTGTTATCTCATGTAAAGAGGTTCAGTTTGAAATTTTGCTTGAGAATGATTGACTTATACCTAAATGAATAGAAATACTGTAAAGAATAGCGCAATATGCCAACAAACAGTAAACTTATGCATAATACATCTTCTACCAGACTTGTAGTATGTTGGGGGATATTTTCCAAATAGGTTTTAGAAATTAATATTAAAATCTGCATTACTGAGTCAGTAAATTGAACAGTAAATTTATTACAGCAGCTGCTGTGAAAAAGTAAGGTGGTGACAAATTAAATGACCTTGAGCCAAACCTTCTAGTTGTCCAGGCTTGTCAAGGTTTCAAGGATATTCAGTGACTCAGTCACTCTTTGTTGTGATTTAAAAGGGAACAGCTGATTTTTATCTCTCACTCTTTCAAACTTAGATTTGTTTTAATTTATCAATCACCAGAACAGATGAGAAGAAATGTATATTTCAACACTAGGGTGTAAAGTGACTCTTTTCGACATGAGCTCAAGAAAAATGAGCAAGGGTTTTTGACACTTTTTTGACTATGTGTTCAACTATATTTTTTGTCATATGCAACATTAATAAAAATAAAAAAAAACTGTAAAGATAACCTCTCAAAAAGTATTTTAACTTGTTTTTGATTTTGCTAATGTAAACATGCAGCTGTTTAATAAGTGATTCAATCATATTGTCTATTACGACCGTGTTAGTGTATATTATTATATAGATATGTCCAACCATTGACAAGAATGCCACAATAAGCTACAATCAATGATATCAATAATACATAATTTTGATACAAGTTATTGCTTACAATAGAAGTTTACAACACCAGACTTATACTCCCAAGGGACTAAAAAGGTGTTTTATTCCCTAGAGAGTAAAATAACTACTTTAGATCCACAACGTATGCATTGAAAACGGCTGTTTTTGCTATGACAAAGATTCTTATTTAAGACTTTGTACATTAATACAATAGTTGAGCACTTCTTCAAGAGGAACTGTCGACATTGGTTTCAATTAAAATTTAAAAAAATAGAAACTGTCCCAATCTTCTTTTTTATATATATATATACAATTGGGCATTATCATATTTTAAAAGTAAAAATTTGAAAACCCATTAATAGCTTATATACAACATGGTGATCTTGCTGGTTCGCGAACTCATTCTATTTTATCCAGCCCTACACTTTCAAGCCAAATTTCATCAAAATCAGACTAAAAATACTTTAAATACCTCAATACTTTCAAAAGCCTAAAACAATAAAAATAAAATATATGGTATTGTTACCACAGGCAGTAGGTAAACTGGAAAGTTGTTAACCTTTACAAGACGCTTAAAATTATATGCTATTTGACATAATGTTGCCATTTGTTTTTTTATTTTTTTATTATAGGTCTACCAATATAAAAAAAAAATATTTTGTGTAAAAAATGATCATTTTGAAAATCATTACCTGTGACACATAATTTTAAAGCTGTGTTTACCAGAATTACGAATTTTCAAATCAGAATGGAAATGTTTGGCGGTTTCGAAAATACAAGGTAATAAGTCAATACATGAAAGATTCACAAAAATTGCCACAATTTTGAAACAAATTGAGATAATTGACATCTCTTTTCACTAAAATGTTGCTCTAAGCAAGACCTCTCTAAAAATGTACAATGTGTTGTAAGTTAACATAAGGAAATTTTGAGATTCGAACCCTTGACCTTCATTTCTGGAACACCCTGTGCTTGGATCATGTTTTAAGTATTTTAAATGGATTTTTCTTATGTGATTTTGGGGGAAGTAATTTTATTTCACATTTCTAGGTGACAACCTACTCTAGTAAAAAGTATGTGAACAGGTGGTCTGATTCACCATGTATTTTACTTTTTAAGTCCTTAGGTTTTTAATTTTGTTTTTTCAGCAGCTAGCTTAATATTCTTTTTGCCTAATTTATGAGCCTAAATCTCAAGAAACTATGCCAATATATACTGTATATGAAAACATTATTGGTAAATTTTAATGTAAATGACATGCCTGAATATTTCAAGAAAATAAGATTGCAGCAGAATCTGTTGAATTTTAAATAGTGGGTAATTTTTATGGATGGCAATTCTTTCGTATTTACTTAGCTGTCTTTTAGGTCACAAATAAACTAAACATTTAACTATGGGATGCAATAACCACAAAAGTGTAGCTGTTTTATTTATGTCATCAGAAATAGTGTGTGAAAGGGAAATTTCTAGAATCCTTAAGAGAATTTTGCTGCCAAACTATTCTGGAATTTGACATATATTTTTGGAGCAAGAATAACAAATAATCTACAAAATTGTATGTGCAATTTTTGTTTAGATAATTAAATACCATCTCTACTAGCATTTATGTGTATACAATCTGTAATAAGATATAAAGGAACCGTAGTAGCAGTAAAGTCTTCTGGTTCGTTTGAAGAGAAATTTAGATGCTCCAATAACCAAAGGAAGAGAACCAAATAGAGAGCAGCTAAAAAATATAGGGATTCCTTTTGTGAACAAAGAAAAATATCACAGCTAATAAAATTGCTACTGACTTTTTCTTTTTTAATGAAGTAAAATTATTTGTAAAGACCCTAATGAAATAAATTTAATCTCATTTAGTTTGGATGTCCCCAAAGAAATTCTAATATAAAATATTGGATAGATGCTGTGGTTGAGGTTTAATTTTCTGTGAACTAGGTAAGAAGATTAGCACTAAAAGCATCTTATTATTAAATCCCAAAATATATGATCACATTTTATGCTGGGAATTTCAAAAACATTAAAGTATGTATTTGAGGTACATAGTAATTGAAGTGTTTGAGGTGTCTTCATTTAAGAAAAAAGTCTTAATCAAATGTTCTTTGAACTTTACGCATTAAGCAAGTAATAGTATTCTATGCTTGCTGGTCCCAGATACAAACACAATACTAATTTTCACTTTCTCCTCCTATATATAGTGCAAGGAAAAATATTGTTTTTGTTAATGATTTTGAGTTTTGAGTGAATATATTCGTTTTGGGTCCCCCTAAACCCAAAAAAGTTGTTTTAGAAGTGATGTCAGGCCACACCTGTAGTCGGATTTTGATGAAATTTGGCATGTAGGTACTAAATCCATATCTCCATGACTTTTTCATTTTTTAGCGAATTTCCCATATAGGGAATAAGCTATTACCGTAGTACTCATGGTAAGACCTGGACCCTGGACCGATTTTTTTTTCGTTTTGAGGTCCCTAGAGGCCAAAAACACCATCCGTTCAAATTCATATATATATATTTATATATGTGTCCGTTGGCGCGATAACTCTAGCAAAAACGATCCGATTTTGATGAAATTTGGTACAAACGTGTAAACCACTTTTGACTCAAAAAACATAAAATTTTGCAATTTCTTTCCAAACTATTTTGTAGAGCTTAAAAAAACAAATAATTTAGTAGGCCTATATTAAAGCGTTATAATGCACATAATGGTTACGGAGAAAATTTCAAAAAATTGTAAATTTAAAATTCCCATGTTATTCTTATGGAGAATAAGTCAACTGTTGTAGTTTGCTTGTTTATTAACATTTTTTGCCCAAATTTGGAAAATGTTTTTATTTCTTACTAACTATTAACATTTTACATAAAAACACTTTTACCCTCCCTGTTGCAGCAAACCTAAGTATGTGTTAAACTGATTCTATTTAAATAGGGAATAAATGTGATATTTTTAAGGAGACATTTTAGTGTAAATCCAATCAGGCAAATGGAAATTCGCTTAGTCTGCAGGTTTGCTGCGGCGGGGGTATTTTTTTTTTACTTTGACTTAATGGTGATTTTCCCACAAACTAACAGATAATCAGATTTTCTTAAAAACTGCCTGAACAATTTTTATAAAAATTCAGTATGTTGTTATATAGTTCAAAAGTGTTTGTAACTTATGTTGTTTTATAAAAACCCCATAAATTTTGATAAAATTGAATTTTAGAAATAAAGCCAGTTTTGATTAAAATTAATGTGTTATGGTTCTTATAAAGTACAACCCCCCATTGCTACGGTTAAAAAGTTATTGCAACTTTTGTGATTTTCCCTAAAAAATATCATAGTTTCTCCCACTGCTTACCCATGATAAAGGTTGTTGACAAGCTTATGGGAGAAAGTATGAGTAAGATTACTGATACTGTTTAAGTTTATTTTTCAGTAAATTTATGTTCAGGAAGGAAAAACCAAAAAAAGGTTGGAGACAAATTATTTACATTTGAAAATTAAAAGTAGAGTTACCAGCAGACCAAGAGATAAGTGCCTTGTACTTTGGTAAAAGGGAGGCTGGTTTAGTTCCCAATATGCCAACATTGAACCTTCCCTCTTAATGCAACTAGACTGTTGAGAAATACAATAATTTTGATTTTGACATGCTTTGATGAATTTTGTTTTCACTTTGATAAACAATCTTGAGACTTAGCACTGGGTATGTTGGTGTAACTAGAGAGTACTTACCGGCCTTGTGACATTGGCTGGCCTGTCGAGTAGGTTTGAACCGGGACCTTTTCTTAGAGGACTGAAACAAGAAAAATAGAGCATCACGTAAGCGAGCTTCTGAGTGATTTATTCCTTGGTGTACTAAAAATAGTAGACTATATTTAGATCACACTTGGTAAGCTTAGAGTTTGGTTTCAAATTTGACAATTTTATTTAATGGTATAAAACAACTGTTAAGAGCCCTTGGAGCCGAGCTGTGCTCAACTCATAAAACAATTACAAAACTACAAAGAAAATGTCTAATGTGACAGTGCTCTGCATAATTAAATTAAAATCACCTTGGTATTTGAAGGAATATTTTAAGATGGTAAATAGCTCTTCAATGGCTGGTATGAAATCAACATTGCTCTTATGGCGGGTAAATCCAAGGCCATCAGTTTCCAAGGACTACCATGGAAAACAATTACAAAATACAAACAAAATTTCTAACATCACGGTGCAGTATATTTTAATTACTTTAAATATAACTTTGGTATTTGATAGAATATTTTGAGATGATAAATAACTCTTTGGCAGGTTTTAAATTAATCCAAGATGGCAGCTATCCTACATGGACTCTTAAGGGCTTGGTGCATACGCGCCTGTGTGTCCATATATCTACTGGGTGAGGTATTTTACATCAGACTCGACTGTTCTTTGAACATTACGGACCTAAGACATCTTGAAACACTACAGAAACATGTTGGATTTTGATATTATTAAACCATTCAATTATTTTAAACCATCCAATTGGTTTAAAGTGTTTACAAGGAAGCCAATAATTGCATGCCAGTCAATCGTCTTCTGACAATTAATTGTCTCTCCTACTGGTCTCTCCATCGAGTAATCCCGGCTTTAGGGCTGGAAATACTTTTGAATAATATATATTGGAGGTGTGCAAGTGGCTTGATTTTCGAGTCTGGCCGAGCTGAAAGCTTATTCTGACGATGGCAGAAAGCGTCTGAGAAGATTGTGTGATTGAAAATTCATAATTTTGCGACATTGATTCATACCACGACACATTGTAATATTGTTTGCTATTTGACAGCAAAGGGTGTTACCACTTTAGACCAACCTTGGTAAATATATAATAATACCATGGATAATGTACAATAGTTTCTAAACCGAATGTAGTAAAATTTTTTTATTAATACTTTTCAAAGCAACCATTTTTAAAACCCAACTTCATTTTTAACACCTTAGAGTACTCCACAGAAGGCCTGAGACAACCACATTTTATACTCGATTGGACCCAACTCAATGTAAAAAGTTTGGCCCACACACCGCTATAAAAAGCCATTTTTTCCTTTAAAAAGTGATTACGAGAAGGGAAATAGCTAAAATAGTTGCCACATATAAACCATTGTTTATCAGCCCATTTTACAAATATACCTGACCAACATGCGCAACATATTTTTTGTTGTTGATATTTAAAAAGTGTCTGTGTAGCTAAATATATGCATCTCCTAAATCCAAATTTTTCCTAACAGAGCCACTGAACATGGATTAAACAGTTTATTTTTATTCATGAAGTGTACTCTGGTAAGGGTAAGGATTAGTTTTAGGATATAGGGGAGCTAGCCAAAAGGCATGATTCAAAGAAGCATTATCTCTTTTAGCTAAGTATTATTCTTTGTTTGTAAACTTGTTGCATAAAAACAACAGTTAAATACAAACATTTAGACTGAAGAAATGTTGTTGAAAGCATAATTCTGTCATAAATTTATGTTTTAACAAAATTGACCATAAAGAATAAGCAACTGTGGTACCGTAGTAGTCGGCTCATGGTGAGACATAGCCCCGGGACTGATTTACTTTATTGTAGGTCCACTGAGGCCAAAAAAACTATCCCATTACATTCCTATGCGTTTTTGTTAGCATGATAACTTGAGTAAAAACCATCCGATTTTTATAAAATTCTGTACAAACCTGTAGGCTATTTCTTCTTTTATCACGAAATTGCAAACCAGCATGGTTCAACTATAGGAGTCGGATTTTATGGGGTAAAAATGGGGGTTTTCCATTTTATCCCTCAAAATATAAAACTTTGCAACTTTTCTTAAACCTATTTGTGTAGAGCAAAACAAATCATCTAATATACTGAAGCGATGTTGTATGCTAAATGGTCTGCCCCTTCCCAACCTAAACTAACCTAGCCTGTGCTTCTTATCAATCATGAACATTAAGCTGTGATTGTCATGTCTGGAACAGGAGTCCGTTCCTTACCAACCTAACCTAACGTATGCTTCATATCATTCAAGTACAATAAGCTGTGGTGGTCATGTCTAGACGTAGAGTCTATACCTTCTTAACATAACCTAACCTGTGCTTTCTAGCAACCATGAGCAATAAGCTGTGTTTGTCATGTCTGGACCTAAAGTCCGCCCCTTCCCAACTTAACCTAACCTTTGCTTCTTAGCAACCATACACAATAAGCTGTGTTGGTTATGTCTGGACCTAAAAACCGCCCCTTCCCAACCTAACCTGTGCTTACTAGCAACCATACACAATAAGCTGTGTTGGTTGAGTCTGGACCTAAAAACCGCCCCTTCCCAACCTAACCTGTGCTTACTAGCAACCATATACAATAAGCTGTGTTGGTTGAGTCTGGACCTAAAAACCGCCCCTTCCCAACCTAACCTGTGCTTACTAGCAACCATATACAATAAGCTGTGTTGGTTGAGTCTGGACCTAAAAACCGCCCTTTCCCAACCTAACCTGTGCTTACTAGCAACCATATACAATAAGCTGTGTTGGTTGAGTCTGGACCTAAAAACCGCCCCTTCCCAACCTAACCTGTGCTTACTAGCAACCATACACAATAAGCTGTGTTGGTTGAGTCTGGACCTAAAAACCGCCCCCTTCCCAACCTAACCTGTGCTTACTAGCAACCATACACAATAAGCTGTGTTGGTTGAGTCTGGACCTAAAAACCGCCCCTTCCCAACCTAACCTGTGCTTACTAGCAACCATACACAATAAGCTGTGTTGGTTGAGTCTGGACCTAAAAACCGCCCCTTCCCAACCTAACCTGTGCTTACTAGCAACCATACACAATAAGCTGTGTTGGTTGAGTCTGGACCTAAAAACCGCCCCTTCCCAACCTAACCTGTGCTTACTAGCAACCATACACAATAAGCTGTGTTGGTTGAGTCTGGACCTAAAAACCGCCCCTTCCCAACCTAACCTGTGCTTACTAGCAACCATATACATTAAGCTGTGTTGGTTGAGTCTGGACCTAAAGTCCGCCTCTTCCCAACCTAACCTTACCTAACCCGTGCTTCCTATCAATCATGCACAAAAAGTTGTTGTTAGGTACAAAATAACAAAAAAAAAAACAATGTGGGCGTGGAATTACCACATGCATACTCATCTCGCTCGACACTCTAATTGACACTAAATATAATAATTTCACCTCAAGCTAAATTTTCACAGCAAATTTGGAGGCTAAATGAATTTTTATTTGCCTGATATGATTTTCACTAAGATATTTTTAAAAAATGTCAGATTTATTCCAGTTAAAATAACTGTCAGATATTTCGTTTTGGGGGCTTCAAAATGAAAATTTAAATCGGTCCTGGGTCTAGGTCTTACCATGAGACCCAGACCTATAGTAATTTCCCTATATGGAAAACTAATTTATAATGGAAATAGGATAGTTTCACCCACACTGCTACTTCATATTTCAAACTAGTCAATAGTAAATGAACTTTGATTCAACTTCTCAACTTGAGAGTGCAATATACCTGAATGAGCTGGCTAAGTGGTCATCTCCATTTGTCGTCACTTCTAAATCCTCTTTTTTGTCTTTCTTTATCCTCTTAGCTGCTGAACCACCTGACGATCCATATTCTCTTTTGACTATTATTTTACCTGCATTTTCCTGTAAAGACAATGTTGAGGTATAAATTAGGTGAGCAGTATAAAGAACTAAGAGAAATTGATAAAGCTTATCAATTCTTTATAAAAGTCAACCCCTAGTAACCTAATTTGTGGCATTTTGAGTACTTACTAACATCTAATGCATTTGTGACTAGTGTCTAATCTAGTCGGAATGAAAAAAAAAACAATTCTATCTCAAATACAGATATATTTTTTTAATGTTACAATCCATTTAAAAAAATCCAGGTCATCCAATACAAGGACATGTCAGAGATATGAGAAATATTTGTAAATTTAGTAATATAACAAACAGATCTGGCGGTAATGCAGGATTAATTTATTTTCAGTCTATTCATTTAAAACAGAAGCTATCAACTATAATCAGCCCTCAGATACAGAGGATGTGACGGTTGATAGGGAACGTGTTACAAAAGATTTCATTACCTAAAAACAAAAAAAGTAGCATTAAATAAAAAAAAAAATAAAAACTGGTCACCTTCTCATTATCACTATCGTTATAATCAACACGTTCCATTTGCACAGTCTTCTCCCGACGGAAGAGTTCTAGCGTAGTTGTTCGGCAATACAGGTCCTCCATAGTGAGAGGGTAGAAGGGAGGGCGTTGGGGATGAGCGGACAGGTCTATGATGGGGTAACCTGAGGTCAGGGTCTGGAGCAAGGAACATAGGATACATCACTGCTAACTAGAGTGGGCTAAACTAGTGGAAGGAATTGTACATATTGCTTATTAACTAAATTTTATAGGAAGCAAAAAAGGTATGGTAGAACTCGGATTATCCAGATAAATTGGGGCTGGACCCCATCCGGAAAGTAACCAATACGCATACAGTAAACTGTAGCATCAATTATCTGAGGCCCAATCATCCAGGAATATGTTGGTTAATCTAAAGGAAGAAATTTAAATAATTTAAACAAGATTGCGCGTCAATCACTACTGCAAAAAGTGACTGATACAAGCAGATTCTCTACGATAGCAACAGACAATCACCGGTATCTCCGAGCTCTCAAGATATGCGTAATCCTACAATCTCGGGAGACGATCAAAACTAGTAAAAAAATATATGTTAAACACGTCAAAATAAATTTCAATACTCTCAACCATTGTATCTCATTTACCCTGTTAATGACCAACCATTCGCAAAATCAGTTATCCGAAAACCCCCAATCCCTAATCGTTTGGGATAATTGACTCTCACCTGTGATTTGATTTTTCTAGGAAAAAATTATTTAAAATATCAGAAGGCAACGGAACTAGGCATACTCATTGACATTGTCGATCGATACGACAACTACAAGAGACTCACCAATGTTAGGTGTGATTGGCACACGTTAAAATATTTTACCTCAAGCTGCAAAAAAAACTGCAATGTCAATTTTGTCGGTTGATATTTTTCCTCCAGGTGAATTTGATAGTTGGGGATCCAGATAATTGGTGATATTAATTAATGGGATTTTGGATAATTCGGGTTCTACTGTAAACAGAATTAGAATGTAGACACCCTCGTGTTAAGACAGCCACATGCATATGACTCAAACACTCGCTTATGTCTTTCGTTACATAAAAAAAGTATCAACTTGTCTTATTCCTGTTTCTCCTAATAAGCGAATTTCCCCTGTAGGGAAGCTATTATCGTAGGTGATATGGTAAAACGAGGGCCCGGAACTGATTTAGACTAGTTTTTTATTTCTTATTTCGATGACCCCGGAGACCAAAACACGTGGTGTTCCGCACAAGAGAGTGTATACTGTATTTCTATTTCTTAGCAAACCCGCTCATACGCGGGTTTTTAAAAGAAAAATAACAGTTTGGTTCAGATTTTTTTTTAATTACAGATGATTCAAATTGTTCCATAAAAAATTTAAACTTTGATTTCATTACTTTAGGTGTGCTCACAAATGTAGGCTCTTTAAGTATTTTTTACATAGATAAACATAAAATTATGTTTTGTTATCGTTTGTATTCTAAATAAAGGGAAACTTCAGTTATAAGGTTGGTTTTTCAAGCTAATACTAATAAATTACTATTTCTCAATGAAAAATTGAGAATAATGCATCAGCCGGTACCCTTTTTATCCTGCTAGCATGCTAATTCAAAGTCTTACCTTTTTGTGTGATTTTGGTTTAGTCTTCTTTTCATTGTCTGAATCTATTAATCGGTCAAAAACTGAGTCTGAATCCTCTTTATTGGTCTGTAAAAAGCACAAAGCAAAAACAAAATTATTAATCAGCCAGAATTCTGAGTAAAATTAAGTTGCCAAGCTTTTATTATTATTCTCCCAATTTCAACAGTTTGGAGCAAAGTAGCTATAGCATTTTTTACAATGACTATCTTTAATTTTTTTTTTACAACAAAATTTAAAATATTGTATCAGTCATAGGAATGACTTGACTAAATAAATAAATATAACATTATCAAAATAATTCTTTTCCTTTTTTATTGTATCAATTAATGGCAATTTTCCAAAGATTAAAGTAAAAAAAAACTGTAAATCATGTATATTTTGAATCTACTAAATTATGAGGTGTGGCTATAAAATATTGAGCCTAGTTTTCTAAAAGATAAACGTCTTGAGCCTGAAGGCCAAATGACAATTGCCAAGTTGCCTGACAACTCATCTTCACATTCCAGCCCCTTTTCAAGACTCTAGGGTGCTTAGTTTGGCCACAGAGTCTTTGTTTTAATCATATCGTGTAAATTCCGCTCGTCATAAAAAAATAGTAGGCATTGTAATTGAACAACATGTCAAGGTGAACTGTGTTTTTGTAAGGCTTGGTAATATAGAACTGTTAAAATGCTTGAAAATGCCCCTAAACCTTAGGGTCTTTCTTGTTTTGGTGTCAAAACAAATTTCAACCGAGAAAAGCTTTTGTTCAAGCGTAAAGATTTTGGGCACCACTTTAGAACACATAATTTTTTTTCGACGAGACCTATGTGTTGAAGGTATTCTTTTACCTAATGCTTTGTTGATTCCTTCAGTCAAAGCAACTGTCTTGGTGGATGAGATTGCTCACTTTTCACCAGTTTTTGAGGTTAACGGGCGTCCTTGGCGCGGATTATCTTCAATATCCCCTCGCCCTTTGAAATGTTTATGCCACTCAAAGAGCAGTATACCACATACATAGATCTTCATACACTTCCAAGAGAGAATAAGTTTCTATAGCAGACTTAACGAAATTCATAAAATATTTCTATTGTCATGTTGCTGAATGATACCATTTTCCAAAGAGCGGCAAATAAAAGATCTGACAGTGGCCGAACTAAGGAGCTTGGTGTCGTTGAACCGACCAGAATGTGAACGAGGAAATGTCAGGCGAATTGGCAACATGGAATTGGCCCTTCATACTCATGCCGTTTGTCTCTTAGAAATCCAGTCTCGTTATTTTACAGCCACACCCTGTATGTTACTGTAATAGGAGGGTCAAATATTGTAAAGAGGAAGTGTTTGGCAATGTTATGTGAGTAGGCTGGTAGTGTTGTTAAACAATAACTTGTTGTGCTGACCTACTGAAGGCTGTTGCTTTAAGTAGGCCAGTGCACTTGATCAGGGGGTCAGTTTTGGTGTGTAGTGTTTGTGTGGTGCACCAGAGGACGGGGTCCTGCTGGGGGAGCTGGAGCCCAAGGCCCTTGGCCTTGGGTCCAGGTAAGAAAATGTTAAGGGTTTTCAAAATTGGTGTTTAGAGTCTTTTCCAAATTGGGGTTTCTGTTTCTAACTAAATGATTTATACAGTTCCAGTCTACTCTACCTTTTTGATTGTTAGTTTTTCTTTTGTGTTCTTTGTGTTGTTTTGAGTAATTAATAAAGTTGGGTTTTGTAAGCGAGTGCTGAGTTTCATTCCTGAGCTACGTCCCCCTTGTAACGGTAGGGATTCCTCTCGGAATACCTACCGCTACTTTGGGGGACGTAGCTCAGGAATGTATCTTTCACATGCTGATCCACAATCTCTAACTGCAAATCATTAAAGCAGCATTATTCAACCAACAGCAGGCCTAAACTCTAAAGTTATCAAACATCTACAGTACACACAAACACACAATTGAACAATGACAAAGAAAAATCTACAAAGAAGTAGGGCCTATGTTTAATCTGTGTTAATACTAAATACTAGTCATTAGGATAAAACAACCATTTTCATTGAAAACAAAAGCACATTAAAAAACGATGATTGCCCATGGAAATGATTTTTCAAAAGGAAAAAACAGTATGAAAATGAAAAGCTAGAGGAAAATTATTAACCTATAGTTGCAAATGAATGATGAATATGTTTTGTGATCACACTTAAATGAAACCATGAGTCATGCAGTTAAACAGTAAAAGATAGGCTCAAAATATACAAAATATCCTTACAATTGAATTATTTTATGTATAGAAATTGTGGAGAAATAATAATGAGTACCGTACTATGTTTTACATTAAATGTTTTCAAGTAAAACTATCGGTACTTCTAGCTCTTGACACTATACTGACAAGAAGGTGGTGTTTTATTCCAATTTGTTTTAAAACTTTGAAATTAATTTTAGATACATGTACATAAATGTTTACCAAATTACCTTTTTTTGTGTCTTGGGTTTGGGTTTCTTTTCACTATTACTATTACTACTACTAGATTCTATAAGGCGATCAAAAACTGAATCAGACTCATCTGAAAAACTCTGAAACAATGACAACACAAACTAGTTAAAAAATGTAAAGATTCTGTTACTAAAAAACCTACATTAGTAAAAATGTTTTGTTCATAACATTAACAGTTACAAAAGGAAACAGCATTGTAATTTTGGTCAACCCTAAAAAATTAATGATGATAAATGTAGATATTTAATTTGACAAAGTTATACTTAATATGATCAAGCCAACAAAAATATCCATTCATCACAAACTGAAATCAAAGTGCGTGCAAGACAAACACAATAAGGAAACAACCGATAAATGGATGGCATGAAATGAAGTTGGCGATCATGAGAAAGCAAACCAAGAAAATAATGGAATCACAAAACTTTACAAAACTAAGTCACAAACAATAAAGACTATAGTTGACACTTCCACAGTTCATTACAACAAATATTTACCAAAACAATGACAAAAAAAAAAAAAAAGTATACAAACTGCAAAGGTAAAATACAAAACCAATTTGAACCACTGTATTACTGATGGGAAATAAGACAAGTGGATTCTTTGTAATAACCCTGACCTGTCCAATTCCTTACGGCAAAGGACTACGGACAGAGACATCATGTATCGTGTATGTACAGTAGAGACCCGATAGTCCGAAATGGTTGGGACCGGACATATTTACCGAATATTTCGGACGTTTTTTGTTTTGGACGCTAGGCACGAGCCCGGGATTGTTTTTCACATTACTTTAGGCTAGACCTAAGGGTTGCGGCATTATCACTTAGATAAAATCCATTGGTGATTTGGCGGGATTGGAACCCGGGACGAAAATAAAAAATGTTAACTAAAAAAATGGCAAAATGTTAACTAAAATACTCCATACAAGTCTATCTCACCCGGCTGCTAAAGAATACTCCGACGAGGTACTACTATCATTACACGACAGGGCTAGCAGTTTCGGTTATTCCCAATGGGTGACAGCACGTACTGGGTCATCACTTTTTGTGTCTACAATATACTGCATTAATATCGTTACCTGACAGTGCTAGTAGTTTCAACTTTCCCCGATAAGTGACAGCAAACTGACTGGGTAAAAAAATAAAAAAAAAAAATATTTTTAAAAATTTAAATAAAAAAAAATATTTTTTGTTTCGGATTAAGCGAACTTTTGGATTACTGAAGTTTGAATTATCGGGATTCCACTGTATCGTGTAAGTGACATAAAGACTTTTTAACATTAGTAGGCCTATACTACTTATTGTGGTTTGACTGTTAAGCACGATCTTCTGTTAATCGATCTTCTGTTAATGTTATCTGTTAATATTCTTTTCTTGTACATGTTATAGTACAAGAAAAGAATATTGAATTTCCAGCAAAGATCTCAAAAAGTCTTTTGTATCAAGTGTCATCTATAATCCATCCATCTTTAAAACACAAGCAATATACAAATCACTCAAACATTTCTACTATTATAATAGTTTTCTCACCTCATCTCCTTTGTTCTGTGCACACTTTTCAATCGCTTCCACAGCATCCTTGAAAGCATTTGACTTGTTTGCCCTGATTAAAGCTTCTTTATATTGTTCGTAAGGCTTTAAATTGCTTTCCTCAATCCAACCACTGAAATTCATGCAAATACTTATCAACATAAATCTGTGATTAAAAATCCATCAGTTTTTTTTTTTTTTTTTAATTAACAAAATCAACCTAATTTGATAAACATAATTTGATTTATCTATACTTATTTAATACGCAAGCAGGAATTTTGTGACAATTACTCCTCCGAAACTACTGAACCGATTGACATGTTTTTGGTGTCATTGGAAAGAGGGTAACGTGAAGTTGTGCAGGAAACTTTCTTTTTAGGGAAATAATTAGAGAGTGAGGCCCTGGGGCCCTTTAAAGTTTCGTATTTCCCCATAAGATTAAAATGGGAAACAAAAATTGTTTTGAAACTCCAGCTGTTGTCAGAAATTAAATATTAATAATTGGTCTCCATGGAAGCATGAGAAAATTCACAATGTTTACATTTGCTTTGACATTTAAAATGTAAACAACCAGAACTGTCAAATGCCTATTTCACAATTTTAGACAGCTGATAAAAAAATAAAACAACTATGTGGTAGGTTTATTTAATCTTAAACTTTATGATAGATTATTATAAATCTATTTCAATAATTATGAAACAAATTTTTCGCCTATTTCACAATTTTGGATGTTGGTTTGTGTTTAATGATATAAGTTAGTTATTAAATTTTTATTTTAAGTTTTAAGGATTTGGCATATGACTAAGCCTATGATAAATAACACCATTTCAGATTTCTGCCAGTTTTTGCCTAACTCTGTCCTGTAGAGTTTAAAGTAGCCTACACCTTATTGTCTACAAATTGGCTAAATAACTTAGGTACGGTACTTAATAAAAGCTGATAGCCTTTTTACGTTGACCTTAAATTGTAAGCATACCTTTTCCCGTCCATGGGCAGTTTGATTGTTAAAAATTCACCCTTTAAAATCGAAAAGGACTGTTATGTAAATTGTAAGTACAGTATTTCCATTGGTTGATCATCTTTTTGTTGGCTCTTTTGCTCTTTTAAAATCATTGGAAATAATGACTGTTATAAGTTTTCAACCAAGTAATTTGTTTGTAATTTGTTTGGTTGTAATTTGTGTTGGTTGTGTTGCTAGCTTAGTGGTTAGCGTCTCGGACTTCGGTGCGGGAGGGACGGGTTCAATCCCCGGCACATCCACTAAACTTTGATCTCTCGTAACTTCTCTTGTGAAATGCCACTGGCGTAGAAAAAAAGGAAAAAAAATAATAACTCCTGTACTTCTTTGCAATTGCTCGATTTCGAGCAACATGTACACTAGTTATACATGTTACTGCTGTCTCATAGACACATGAAAAATTACAGTACATGAAAAAATTGTATCTGCTGTTACCCGTTGGATAACTCCCGACATGGCTTTGTGTTTTATGACTTGTACTACTATGTACCCGCTGAAGCCCTGACTTTGTTCAGGCTAAATTGACCTTATGAGTTGATTTACATTATTACATTATAAGAAGTTTTTGAAGAGACTGTACAGGGATAAGGATGCAAAACATCATTGCAAAGATATGATCAGCTATTATGATCTTATTTTAGTCAAAATCTGATAGAAATTGGCTGAGTAGGCGTGTGTGCCGCTCTTGTTCTGCGGTTGAAGGGTAATTTCTTCACATAACTTTTGTTCCGGAGGTCAGCAGGTAGATTTCGGGGCTGGCCGAAACATCACTTTTGTTTTGCGGACATCTATCTTGTTCCGCGAGAGAGGGGGCTGCACTCTCCCTCCCCTAAATCCTCTCTTCACTCTCCTCCTAATTCTTTTTTTCATAGGTTAGGTTAAACTGAATTAATATTGATTTTTTTTTTATAAGAAGTAAATGATAATTTAACGAGTTTTAAACCTGCATGAAAGAAAGAATTAGGAGGAGGGCGAAAGAAAGAATTAGGAGGAGGGCAAAAGAAAGGATATGGGGGAGAGAGTGTACAGCCCCTCTCTTGCGGAACAAGAGAGATGTCCGTGGAACAAAAGCAATGTTTTGGCCGGTCCTGAAATCTACCTGCTGACCCCCGGTACAAAAGTGATGTGAAGAGATTAGCCTTCAACCGCGGAACAAAAGTGATACAGCCGAGTGGGCAGGTTTGCTATAATTTATCTCTGTATTAATTTTTACGCCACACTACACTGTTTTAACAAACTCCACAAAAGGATTTAGTCCAGAACACAGCTGTTTGCCGCCAGCTTAATCAAATGGGGTTTCATTACGTACTACTGTACTGTAATGATTTTTACAGGACATTAACCAGCTGATTATATACTGTATTTGGCAATGACTGAGCGTGGTTTATAAACAAAAACATAACCTCTCTTAGATATATTCTAGAAATATTCTAGTTCTTGCCACTGGGAAAATACATAAAGAATCAACTCTCTTAGAGGTTATGACTAGTGATGATAAGTCATTTAGTCAGTGGTAATATATAAGGATCCGTACGGATTTAGTAATATTGCGTGAAATATCGTACGTCACTCGTCCAAAATGTGTTTACCGGACTCGTATGATAATCTCTCTACATTGTCTCGAATGGGAACAACCACATTCGTCCGGTAAACACCTTTTTTCAGGACTAGTAACATAATACACAATTAACAAAAACTTTCACAACTTTTACTTTAGCCTACAATATGTTTGGCTAATGGTAACAGCTAATACTTTAGAATAGAAATCTTCACGTACATAGAAAATTCCAATGACTATGTTCGCGAATGTTTGAGGTTACTGGTTTTGTAAGTATTAACATTAACAATAACTCCAAAAATGTAATAAAGTGTGTACTTTAATCACTTGCACGATATGTGTTTAACCGCTTTTCAATAATTTATGTATATTTATTATGTAAAATATACTGCTTTTTAATTAAATGGAAGTTTGGTAATCGTGGTTTAGTGGGAAACTGCCTTGTTTAGATAAAGTTAAGTTTTACAGTTTTTACTTTAAACTAATTTTACTTAGGCTACTTGAAAACTGTTTGGGATGCAAAAAACATTAATAAAAAAAGTTGTAGAGAATTAAATTCTCCATTACGATTTTCTGACAGATTTAAGATCCAAACATTGGTTCAGCTTATACAGACCAAAATATAAAGGCTTACAAAGTTAATTAAAAAAAAAATAGCTTCCCCGTTTAACCCCCTTTAAATTTTGAATTTTGTAAAACCTCGTCATAATGCACATCTTCACCATACAGAGACCCCCTATACCAAATTTTATAATTCTAGGACAAATAGGCCAACTTTGGGGAAAATAGTGACCATCTGTCTGTCCTTTATTGTGGGATTTGCCTTATACAGGTGAGGCAATGAGAACGCCACAATTTGTTTTAGCTGTCACGTGTTAATTGTTGCAACAACGAATGATCAGCTGTGCTTATAAAATCAATTAAACTATGCCATTTTAGTAAATATTATGCCTGAGGCTATTAACACTGAGATTTTGACGTGGAAACCTATTTAAAAAATAGTGATTCTTGTGCAAAAAACCAGAGATTGTTTGGACCACATTCCACCCTTGGTCAACATGGCGCGGTTCCAAATTGGAAAACAATGGTGAACTGGGTAAAATTATTTAGGATAAACGCTTAAACCTTAAAAATAATCGGTGGGTATCGCAAAACTCTTTGTACACCAGCAAATGTTGAAAGAGTGCGAGTCACAGTAACTCAAAGTCCAAAGGGATTTGCCAGGAAGCTTTTGTTGTTGAAAGCTTTACGTTGGCTCCTTTTTTGGGAGAGGGGGGGTTGTTCTAATAAGATAATTGAAGTTCGAGGTTTTTTAAAGTCGCCCCACAGATTTGCTTGAACTGAAGCTAAGAATCATCCAAAAACTAAAGCAAACCTGAGGAAATGCTGGAGGAGTATTTGATCAGGTTTTCAAGTGCCTTAAAAGGAATAAAAGGAATGTCAAGTAGGACAATTTGTTCTCAAGAAATGGAAAAATGACTTTGTTAAGTTAAAATGGCAAAAGATAAGCTGTGTTTTGTTGTGCTATTTATATCTATAGGGTGAATATTATTGAGTTTGTACAGCTTATAAATTGGGATGCTTTCATTGCCCCACCCTGTATAAGTAGTCTATGGATAATTCACAATTAATTACTTGTTGTTTAGGTGATGTTAGAAATCCTGTTTGTTGTTTTAGCATTATGCCTACTTGATCAATAGAAGTCTGCTTTAAAAATGGTTAGTAGTGTATGGCATTGATAGTTTTAAACACACAATATAAATAGGTATACAGTAGGTATCGGATTATACAAAAACAATTTAAGCTTGGAGAAATCTGCAAAAATATATAATACAAGTACATTTTTATAATTTTTTTACTCAGAAGGCCTTTGTAAGTTCTTTTACGGGAATAGCTCAGATCCTGGCTTCGTTACAACCTAATGTTGACCTTTTGTTAGAAAGCATTATTAAATGGTAGCCAAATGACAAAAGGTAACTGGGTCCAGAATTGATCTCGATCAGGATTGAAGACAAGCACTATGCCCACTCAGCTACCCAGAAAACTTAATACAGTAGAACTTCAATTATCTGAGATCCAACTATCCAAATTGCTTACAGAAATAATTTAAAAAACGTAAATCCACAGCAATAAGAATAGTTATTTAAAGAAGGCAGAAGCCGTGATCACAGCAAAATCATAAACCTCTCTCACGGTCGTGTGAGACATCAACGTCTCCAACGGGTATGGAAACATCTTAACCGTTTTTCATGATTGCAACAAGATCTTGAACATCTCCTAAGGTCATGTAGACATTATCATCGTATTCCTATCTTATGTCATGGAAAATCATAATCGTTATCCACAATCGTGTCAAAATGTTGAGTTTTTCAATCGCGGAATCTTCACAGACACTTTCTGCGGTTTCAATAGTTAAAGTTCGGCATGACTTGGTCTGTTTTCTGTAAAATATCTAGAATTTCAGTAAAAATCCAAAAAGATTATAAAAGTCTACGGTTGCAGTTCTATGAGTATTCTTTTTCAAAAAGAATTTTTTTAGGTAACTTCCCACCAAAATCATTAGAAACTAAGTAACATTAGAATTTTTTTTTTAAATTTGAGTTTATAAAGGCATAATAAAGTAATGTTAAAATAAGTAAGCTTGTCTTGAGACTGTCAATCTAGTTTGGGGCAGTTAAAATTTAGCCTACATACATAAAATATGGTTTTTTTTTTGTTTAACCCAGCATGGAAGTATGGTATAGCCCTTCAACCTCAGCACCCGATGGCAGGCGTTGTCATTTAGAATAGGTGAGAACACTACAATTTATGAGAGTGTACATTAAGTACATTAAGAAGTCTAGTACCCCACTGTGTCGCTGGTACTTCCCAGATACCGGTCCATACAGTGGCACTAAACAGCTGCTCACCAGACACATGCATTTTACCGGTGTCAATCAGTGGTCGGCAAGTATGCCAGTTCCCAATCACCCCTATGTTTTAGGCCTACTATCGCAATTTGGATTGTCAGTAAAAAAATCGATTGTCAAAAATCAGTTTTTTGTTATGTTTTTGTCTCAAGTTTTAAATGAGAGATAAACACATGTTTTTCAATGTTCAATTAGGCTTAAACAGGTAAAACTTAAGTCCCCATAGATATTACATTTTTCCACACCAATTTTCTACCCCGCAGGTTTGCAGAATGACGTGTATTCTTTTGTTGTAGACCATCACTTATCTCAAATCCTAGAGAAAAAGAGGTGATATTGGACCAGCATGAATAAGTCAACCAAAAAATCTTAATAAAAACATTGTCATTAAGCATGTGTTGTAATGGTCAAATTTTATTAGGGGGGTTAGTTTTAATTATTTTAAAGCCGCGAAGGTTTGAGCGCGCTCGACAACAATGTCAAACATGTCCACGGCAAGTCAAGTCTCCTAGTTCGTGACTTGGCCGCTGCGACCTCGGGGCGCTGACGTAGACGTGGTGGGGAGAAGCCGTAACCAGCGGACAGTGGACATTTCTTGAGACAGTCGACGGCGAGCGCATGTTCGCTACACACCCTCTCCTGAGATATATAGCAGACCTGCGGCGAGAATAAGTTGTGGATGCGATACGCATCGAGCGCGAAAATAAGGGCGATAATATTAAGCGAAATAAGTATTGACAGGCGTAAGTACTGCATTGTATCCTTACATTATTAGTATTATTTTCCCATTTTACTTTGGCGAGTAGAAGTTAATATTCTTTACGATCACCTTAGTTGTAAGAGATTAGCGTATTGTATTTCTCAAGAAGTTGTATTTGGCACTGCGAAAGCAGCGCCAAAGTAGCCTACACTTTTTAGTTTATTTATCTTAAGTGGTTTTATTTTATTTTATCCAAAAGTATTTCATTTCGTTATTTTGTTATTGCGTGTGACGACATTTTATTTCACTACGAGAGTATTATTTTAAGTTTTTATTTGAGAAGCGATACCTTTTGTTAGGCCTAGATGCTGGTCACGTATTTTAGTTCACATAGAAGTATCGTATTTAGTGCCGATGTATTCCTAGTTAGTGCGTCGTCGTGCTGACATACAACCATAGTATACTCGTGCGTGTAGGACGACGAAGGTACCATCTACGAAGATCGAGAAGCGGTTAGCGAGCGACGGAGACTGTTAGCGAGAACCCTCGACTACTAGAGCTGACCGAGCGAATCAGAGGTAAGTTTAGGATAGGTTGACCCTACCCGATATAAACACCTCACAGTGTACAATCCATTTTTGGCAAAAATTGATTAGGTTGGTAATGAAAGATTTAAATGATAGTTACTTACTAGTTTTCGGAGCCAAAAAAATATATGCAGTGGGAAGCTTTTTTACTTGCAGGCCTCTTCAAATCTTTGGGTGGGTTGGAAACCTGTAAAATAATTAAATTAATCAATAATGTTGAGTAGACTAAAGAATAAATACTATTTTCCTACAGTTACCTGACAAAGAGTCTTTACTGTACTGATTAGATATAGAATGCAAAGTAGCTAATTGCTGCATTTACTTTTGCCGCACCAATTTTTTTTGCTGCACTCAAGTATTCAAAATAAACAACACAAGAGATTGTGCTTTTATAAGGTGCATACGCTCGAATAAATTGGCAACACTTAAAGGTACTACGACTACAATCTAATCAGATGTTCCAGTGTTTCCCATTTTGTTCAACGCTTCAATTTAAATATCCTAAAATGTGTAGTTTAGTGCTTGAAAGACTAATTATTTTTATCCTTTATAGTAACTGTAGGAAAAATATCATGTGTATCAGAAGTGCAAAGTGCCTTTGCTGCACTCAAGAAACTTTCCACACTCGCTTAAGGTTCCTGCGTAAACATTTCGCTTGTGTGCACAGCAAAATTCCACTTTACACACTAGTTACACAAGCCGTTAATGACATGTGTTAAGTAATCTGTATATTAAGTAATCTAAGTGATAGTAACCAAAAGCTACGATGAACAACCCAATCTAAAGTGTCTTTTAATAGTTACAGTAACAAGATCATTAGTGCATTTAAGGACCAAAAGAGGGGAGTTAAGACAGAGAGTTTATTTGGAAGTTGTTATTGATAATAGGCCTTTAAGCCCATTCAATATAAAATCATTTTTAGTTTCCAAAAAATATTAGGCACTAATATGAAGGAGTTATGAACAATCATGTTAATTTCTTCGGCAGTCATTACATACCGTACGTAAACAACGTTTGACTCCCTGCAGGAAAATTTCTTGTGGCCAAACAGTGGTTCCTCAACAATAAGCTGAGCTTAAACAAAGATAAGACACAAGAAATTGTATGTAGCCTCAGTTTAAGCCAATCATCAACTTCTCCGGAAGTTAAGTTACTGGGTTTTACCCTGGATGCTAAATTAAGCTGGAACAGTCACACAGCTAACATCTGCCTAAAACTAGCAAAAGTAACACGTCTCCTCAGGTGCCTAAAGCCTCTACTATCTAAGGAGCACCTATTAGTGATATATTATGCACTGTTTCACAGTCATGTTATGCATGGGCTTCAGCTGTGGGGACACGCATCGGGATGCAATAATATCCTTCTCGAGCAGAAAAAAGCCTTGAGAATCATAGACTCAGCTGGTTTTCTCGACCACTGCAAACCTATATTTGCAAAACTCAAAGTCTGCACCGTGTTTAGCCAAAACATTCTGCTTAGCCTGCTTTATGTCAGGGAAAACCTATCTTTACTTACTGTGAGAGGGGACCTGCACCCATATAACATCCGAGGGAGGGAAAAGATTGATATCCCTTATTGTAGGCTGAGTAGAAAGAAGGAATGCTTCCCAGTCCTGGCAATAACACTTTTCAACACGCTCCCAACTAGTGTGAGAAATCTGGAGGTCGGGAAGTTCAAGACTTGGGTAGAGCGATGGTTGAGGAAAAATCCTTTCTACTCCATTGAGGAATATTATAAAGCAGATACCCAAAATATATAAGGCCTAGCTCGGTAAAGACCTGCCGCCAAACACACAACCCAAAATATGTAAATAGTGTACAGTTTTTAAATAATTTATATTTTGTTGTACAGTCCTAAATATTAGTTTTAAAAGTATTACTGACGCCATCTATCCAGTATCACTGGTCAAAGATGAAGGGAAGAAGTATGAAGTATGAAGTAAGTATACAAATCATTGAGCAGCTTTTTACACATAAAAGGCTGTTTGGGTGTTTTGATTTAACGGAAGGCGACTACCAAAAATAAAGGTACAAACCTTAACAGTCAAAGGGTAACAGCATATTACCTAAAAAAAAATTTCCAAGTAAATTGATGTTAGGTTTACCCTTGGAAAATTATAGGCTATATTTCTAATAGGCCCAAACTTTCTTATAGATTGTGTCTAAGTGTTTAAAATGTTTATTTCAAGCTGACAAGTTTAAATTATTAATTTTGAAATCGCAAGACAAAATTCAGTTTAGTAGGGAGGTACCTATTTATTTAATATAGGTGCCTCCAATAGAATTTTTAAATTTGGTATCAAGTTTTTTTTCCTTCCTGAATCCAAATATAAGATTTTTTTTCCCCCCTAATGAATATTACTCTAGATATCGCCGTAAAAATATACATTAGAATAAACAAGGTAGTATGGATGACATTAAAATGAACTGTGGGTGAAGTAAGCCTACAGCTGATTGTTTTCAACTACACGACAAGCAACTGGAGGAACTAACCTTAAAGCCAGTATCCACAGTGCGAGGCAGCTCGCTGTGAACGCCTCGTTGCAAATTCTCAGCTTTGCCTCGGACTGTGGATACCGGGGTTGCTCGCTATGAGGCGCTCGCATCGAAAAATGTGAGGCGAAACGTGTACTTGTCGGTTTTAGAGCAGTGCTCAAAGGTGCCTCGCTCTGAGCTGTGTGTCATCATGGATAGTCATGACATGATCAGAGATTTAGTGAAGTGTTATGGAAAGCAAAGCGGGTGGTTAGCGTGCTCGCAATGAGCATTCGTGGTTACAAACTAGCTGCTAGCTAAAGAGCTCACCCTGAGGCAGATGGCACGAGGCATTTGCAGCGAGCAGCCTCGCACTGTGGATACCGGCCTTTATTATCTAACTCTGATTCTGATCGGCAATAGGCCAAATTTAATTACGACATTTCACTTCACAAACACTGAACAACTACTTAGAACTAAAACTATAATACAGTGGTAGAATACTAAAACCAATACTGTGCTGCTAGTCTGCCTGCTACGCTAAGTTCATCTTCAAAAGCATTTAAATTACAGACAGACAGACAAACAGACATAAGTAGGATTAAAAACATATCTTGTTTAGGCAAAAATAATAGCCTATAACCCTCCGAGTGTCCCTTGTTTTGGCCTTAATGTCTGCCTACTTTTTGCTCATTTGCAAGGTTTTATTAAAACGGATCTGAGAAGCTTAAAAAAAATGTTAATTATACTGTTCTATATACCATTTTGTTTGGAAAATCATGGGCTTCAATAATATACATAAAACATAAGGAACATTTGTTTCAAAAAAAAACTTTTAGGTAAAAAAAATATTTTGGAAAATTAAAAAAAAAAAGTTTACACTCAATGAAATTGTATAAATTATAGGCCTATAAATATTTGAAAATAGCCACTTTGTTCTAAATTTTATGAGGATTACAAATATATAATAATATAAGGAAGTAGATTTGCAAATAAATAAGTTATGGACAAAAACAGATTTCAGTACATAGCGTTTGTTTAGCTAAGAAAGCATAGCCTAACCATAGCTAGGAATCTGGCTGATAATTTACATCAATATCACTACCTACTTCTTCAGGATCATCAACCAGCCCTTCAAAATCACTTAAATCTTCTTATAATGCACCACGTATATCACTACTTTTGATTTTTAACACTAAAACAATGATAAACGTACATCAGCCATCGGTGCGAGGTTAACCAAGCTGTTTACAAATACGCACGTCAGCTGTCTGCTACAATATTTTCGGAACTAAAATGAAAAGCGTATAGAAACAGAAATCAGGAGAAAGCTCTAAATCTGCTGAAAAAAACGATACCTAATTCAATCCAGTTCAATCCGATTCAGTCAGTCCCAGAGCCGTCGCCGTAAACAGTGTTTGTGAGTCGAAGCTTCGACACAAAACACTACACAAAGTGTGTTATGTGTCGAAGCTTCGACAAATAACACTCGGAGGGATATATGGTATTGGATTAAGAAATGAAACTATATTCTAAACTAACCTAACATAAAACTTGCTGTAGGCTAAGTTACCGTTTCAAAATTCTGTTTGATAACAGTAAAGGCGTGGGGAATAAGCTGTCAAACAGAATTTTGAAATGTTACAACAAGTTTGGTTCTAGGTAGGTTAGTTTAGAACAGTTTCATTTCAATAATTTTTTTTTTTTTTTTTTATTGTTTGTTGATAGGTAGGCCTACTGAACAATTTTTATTTATCGTAGTTTACAACTGATAAGTTTCAATTTGTTAATATCAATATGTCGAATTAAAAAATAAAATATTGATATATCGAAAAGAAATCATCGATAATATTAAATGTTCCCTTAAACAGGAAAGTACCGATACCCAAAATATTATTATTGACTAGGTAGACAAATATTTCAAGTGATTCTGTAACAATAATAAGTAAGTAAGTAAGTAAGTATAATAATGTTACTATAAGTTAAAGGGAATTCTGTCACATTTTAGAGAAATGTAAGGACAGTCGGACTAATTACATGTCGTAGCCTATTTACCTAGGCCTACATACTTAATCCTTCTTAATCTTTTACCCAATAGGATGGATTGCGTCTCGACAAAACATTTATTTTACACACACACAAAGAAAAAATACTTCACAACGTGTACAACAGTTCAAGATAAAAAAAACAATGTATATACATATAAACAAGTTAAAAATAACTTCCAGGGATGATGGAAAGACAGCTATCGATGTTTTCTATCTCCTTATCGGTCATGAACTCTGAGATGCTATAGAAGGCTCTCTCTTTCATTAGCGACATAAGCTTGTTCTTGAGATAACCCCTTTTTATGCCCCCCCTTTAGTCCAGGCGCTAAACGGGTTGAGTATGCACTGAAAGTCTGACAAAATTTGACTTTTGATTATTGTTGGGGACATCTAGTAGATGAAAAAAATCGATGATGTTGCATTTCTAGGGTGGTCACAACTCGGGGGGGAGGGGGGGAAGTTGCGCGGGTCATCGGTTTACGTTTCCGCGTCTAACTCACAAACGGTTAATGATAGAAAGGTGAATTAAGCGTCTATCTACGCCTAAATATATTGTCCTTCAAAAAGGTTATTACAACCTTTCTTTTATCTCTTATACTTTAGGCGCTAATCAACATTTATTGCAAAAAATAAAATTTAAAAATACTTTAAAATGAAATATCGGA